TCCTTTGTTGAAGGATTTTTAGCTCTTAGAAAACTTAAGTCTTGGCTGTGGTTGTACTACTTGAACATCGCAAAGTATAACCTAAACATTTAATGTCAATAGATTTGACCACACAAACGAGATTCTGTGAACCAACGGTAGCTAATTTAAATATACACATATAGAGTTATGGATATAATATATCCCGTGTATTAGCTGGAAATAATATTAATGTGGGTTAAGCTACAAATCCAGGAATGTAATGGAAATACATCTTAATTTTATTTCTCGAGGCTTGTAGTAATTCCATAATTTTGTTCATCTTGAACTTGAAATGCCCCCCAAAAATGCATTTAGTAATTGTTTGAAAAGGCTCGCAACACATTGGATAATATCACATATAATATAAAAACTTTCTCATCTTCGCTGTTCGAATCGGACAATGCATCGTTGACATATTAACCTATACATGCCTTTCCAACTGTAAAAAATATAGTTAAATTATTCCATCCCTCTAAAAGCGTGACGTGCTGAAATCAGCCTGCTCTGGTTTACCCCATAGCGGAGGAGTGAGGACTTTGAAAGATCGCCCTTTCACTTGCAAGCGAGTGTATTCACTACATTATTTCAAGGAAATATTGTAAAATCTAACATTAATATATCTGTATGGGGTATATACTGTGTTTGCAAGTAAGATAAAACAATTTAAATTATTGCGATTCTCGTTTTTGAGCCAAATGCTAGTTAAATCTTTTAAGCCCGATTTCGTGAAAACACTTGTTTCTGCTCGTTCGTTGCTAACCGGCCGTAGTTAGTGGGTGTGGGCTCTCAGAGGCGCCTTGACACCGCACTGCACTGCTTTGCGAGCAGGCCGGTGTGATACATTGGGCTGGATTGTAGCGTGCCACAGCGACGCTGCCTCCGATTTATAAAAATCTAGAGCACTGGCATCTGTTTCTTGAGCGTTGCAACAACTCCAACTCCCACACTCAAAACAATGATTTTGGAAAAAAAAACAAATCGAGTGCTGGAACAAGAACGATGTACATCTTGTGTTAAAATCAACAATCAACACCACAGCGATATGCTTTTGTTAATATAGGGATTATTAAAACATTCTTATGTTATAAAAATACATTATGTTGTCATATATTGGCTATACCACACAATTCAGTAGTCCCCTTTTTGAACAAAAGATTATTTTCAACACATTCTGTGAATGCCAGTACCGAGACTGCATTTTGCAAGAGGCCCGCTTTATTTAAAATGTGCGCACATGCTACACAGCACCACAGTGCTCGCAGCAATGAAATATGATTGTCAACGGGACAGTATTTTTGTTGTGATAAAATCAAAACAAAATTATAATTAGACGGTTTTAATACAATCATATTAACCAAGCACACCATTGTGCCGCCGTGTGCTCAGATCTCACGAGTCGTGATTTGTATCATGTCATTTGTGTCCCCCATCACCCTTACTGGGATTTATTTTTAATAAATATGATTTCACTAGATTAAAATCTATTTTCTTAAACGCTATAAAATACAAATTCGGCTTGAAGGTGCGGATAAAATCTGCACTAATTCATTGAACTCAAGTTACTGACGTGGTGACTGGGGACAAAAGACAGTGTTTCGCTGTTTTGACCTGATTTCCTTTGGGAGAGAGCTGAAAGATGAATGTAAAGTTCCTTATTTTTCGAGCAGATCTCAGACAAACCCAAAAGGCTGTTTCAGAGCCTTAATATTATTTCATGAAGATACTTTAATATCGGAAAGTATTGTTATAAGCAGGCACCGTTACAGACTCGTATTCTGTCAGTTAATTCGTGCTTTTAACTGAAAACTAATAACAAGACACATGACGCAATTTAAATTGTTAAATATCTGTTATTATGTTAAGTCCACAAAATAAGTTTAAATACCCGAGCCAAGGTTATCTAACACACGCGTTACATGTACAGTAGGACACAAATTGTGAGGTTTCTCAGTAAGATACTACGTTAATCAATATATATATACTAAAAGTGGTAAAATATTATCCGAAATATGCAACTGATCTGCTTCATAGGTACAAGTAAAAAGTGATTGTAGGTGCATTTCTGAAGTTGCGGGTTTTAGATAGCATCGTCTGGGTTATGGGACTCAAGGTGTTCAAAATCCGTGCTGGGCATTTCATTTTAAACAAAGATGTTTGTATCTGATAGGCTCCCCAGGCTGGATTAAAGGATTGCAGACCCAAGTATTATGTGAGAAAAGAGAACGACTACGAGCAACCGTGGGTCAAGGAATGTATTTGGAACGTAGTTCAACTTCATGACTAATGCGCACGCAGCTGATGCCAAACGCTGAAGAATTCTCCCAGCAAAGTGGTCGTAAATTCCAAGAGATGCAATGTTGTCAAATATTTCATTGAACAACGTCATGGAAAATGTGTGTACTTTCAACTGAAAGGGCCAACTGGAAAGAAGCAACTTCAGGACGCTATGAAGAAAAAATGACTTAGGTATGACCATGAAATGACCTTGTAAAATATTACCAGAGGAACCTACATGCACACATTTCAATGAAGCTCTTTCCTATCCTCTTCACTGATGGTAAAAATGTGAAAAAATTACATTTGAATGCATTTTCGTGTAAAATACCTCTCCTTCGCTAATATTTAAAAGCATCATGTGTCTCCTTAACGTATTCAGCTTCTTCGACGTAGCGCCTAAATTACTCGCTTTTTCATTTCCACTTGCTTAATTGCCAAATTGGAGCATTATATATTCAATTAAAAGCTTGTTTCACGTTATATAAAACATGTAAAAGCTAGCAGGTAGGAATCTAAAAGGGCCAAATACGCGCTAGCTTGGTTTTAACCACAACACGTGCGGCTTTTTCACTGCGCAAAATTCAGGAGCGTCTGCGATTGTGGAAGTCGGCGGAGATCGCTTGCGATAACTCTGGAGCCGCAATACAGAAAAATAACAGCGTGATTGACCGGCTACCCTGGCGCGGCGGTGGTACTCTGCTAATACCGGCTATGCGTCCACAGCAACCAAAACGCCAAAGGTGTCCAGAATACAGCGCGCTGAGCTGTCAACACCTTTTACTTGGAACATTTACAAGGTAACAAAACGCCAGTCTTCTCGTCTTGTACCCCCCTTACCAAATGGCGGAGTCGCTGCTGTCGCTCCCCTTCTGGTTTGTGTAAACGTTTAGAGATCAATTTGCAGAAGACTACGGATTCTAGAGCGCAGGCGGGGAAGCGAGGGGGGCGGGCGGGCGGGGGGGTTCGGAGCTGGGAGCTGGGGCGAGGGGTCTTCTCGGAATGAAGTCATCAGCGTTAATTAAAAGCAGGGGAGAGGAGACGGGCGCGCGCCTGCCCCTGCCCTCGCGCGCTGGGTGGTCTGCTCTCCTGATAAATTCGTGGGCCTCCCTTCCCCACCGGGGCGCCCACTGCAGAGGCTGGCTAAAACAATACTCCCCATGCCCACCTCGGCACTCGGGTTACGGGCTCGGTCGAGCCGCGGAGCTGGCCTCGCTTGCGCCGGTGCCCGAGCAGGGGGCACACAGATCGCTGGGTCACGCACAGTTTATGAAGCAGAACAAAAATAAAATATTTTTTTTAAAACCAGACGTGATAGCATGTGAGTGAAAAGGGATTATGAATAAATACAACTGACATTACATCCCAAGAACCGCATATTTGAGGTACTTCAGGTTGGTATAAGCGTACTGTTACTTAGGTCACATATTTTTTCATTATATATGGACCTGATATTTCCGTTTTAATGGGGTCTATTAAAAATGTGGATTTTCCATCACACTATGTCCTCAATTTAGAAGCTTTACTGAATATTTTCAATAAAGGAAATTAAAACAAATATTGACTCTTCTACGAAGACTGTTCGTGAAATTTCAATTAAAAGCTGTTTTCAAGCGATGAAATATATTTAATATATTTCTGTACCATGTAAAATATAAAACACAAAGCTACAAAAACGAAATTAAAAACAGATTGTATAAAGCTGTAGTGTTTTAAAGATAGATTTTTAAAAATAATTCCAGCTATACATAAATTATCCTCGAATCTATTCGAAATACGAAGGACGCGTTTAGCATCCAGCAACTCAGGAGTCCGAGACGAGCCAATTTCCAGGTTTAAGGTCAATGCTTCGTGGACACTGCTAGTAATCCAGGAGGCTACTTGCCTCTGAGCGATGGTGCTGTAGGTACAAAGTGCCTGTTCTCTGGAAAGCCATGAAATGTATTTCTAGATTTCGCTTTCACGTACAGTGCTTCGAAAGGCAAATTGAAAAAGTATTTGAGAGCACGGGCGCACCAGCTGCAGACAAATACACGTATGAAGAATTTGCACATGTGCATAAAAGAATAATCCTGCAGCACCATACTCAGCAGATGTTTGTACATGTGAATAGTGGTGTTAAAGGGATTTTCCCCGTGAAATGAACCGCACATCACCGCAAGAAAGATGCGTTTGTTTTCTAGGCCATTTATTAAGAGTTTTGCCAATCGACAAAATTCATATACTTTCAGCCACGGAATGCGTCATACTGCTGCTTCATTAAATATAGAGCTATATTAATGACATGCCACGGTTATTGTTCATATCTCTCAACAAAAACGTTTTTACTGTCTCTTTTTTCTGCTTGTTTTTAAAACAATGCATGTTTTTCTTTAAAGTGAAGTTTATGTAGGGGATCCCATCGATGTCTTTATATCTCTAATGTGACCTATTAATTTATTCATACATAATCTCTATATACACAGACCTGCCAGTTTTGCTTTTAATCACAATTTATGTAGTTTGATCATAACGCAACATGTTATATAATTTACATAGGCCTGCGTAACCGAGTCCGAAGGGGCGCTTTGATCCTGCGTTTCCACAGTGAGCCACTGCTTTGATCAGACGAGAAAGACGCGGAATGCGTTCTGACACCTCGGTACTCGTCTTTGCGAGAGCGGGCTGTCATTTCTAGAGAGTGACAAGAGTTGAAAGTGACTTACCTTGATTTGTGGATGACATCTGATGAAGGAGAGGACGCCAGGCGCCTCTTACAAATCCCCTCCGAGTTCGCAGCGCAGACACGGCGCATCGCCCGGCCGAGGGGATGCTTTTCCCTCTCTTTGGAAGAAAGCAGCGTTTCAGAAACAGCTTGAAAGCCTTTCTGCAATTATTTTCAAAAGTCAAATCCAAACACACGACGGCCTCTAAAACGAACATTTTCAATGCATCGGAAAGGGGCATTCGCTGATCTAGCAGGAGTTTTGCTTGATTTTTTATTTAAAGAAGCCCAGCGATTATGTTTACATTTTGCTGTATAAACATCCTGCCCATGTTCCTGTCTATCTTGAAAAGAAATCAGGAACGGGGATTTTAAATGGATATGCCTTTTTCATATTAAATCACGATTTGGCGTATCAACACATTATTTTCTATATTTAATTAACTTTAATCAGCCAGATAATGTTGTAGTAGTCTATAAAGAGGGGCACGTTTCTTAAACATCATTTTGTAGGACAGCAACATTCAAAACTTTGTTATTCATTTTCCAATTAAAATACAGCAATTTGAGCGATAACCGAGATGTGAAAAAATTACACTAGTGCAATGCTTATTTATACGCAAAAAAAAAACTTTAAAAGCAAAGTAATGGGAGAAGGAAAGATGAAATGTTTTGAGTATGAAATTCTACGCAAAAATGCTTGAACATTCCCACTTTTCACCCTCACCATCCATTCTTAAACTTTAAGAAGTGTTTTAATTGTAGATACTGCTCATTTCGGGCACAGATGTATCGTGTGTCTGGTACTAGAAGAAAAAAAACCATCCGAGTGGGGTTGAAGGCGGGCGGTGCGGAGTCGGGCAGCGCAGCGCTCCGAGTGGGAGGAGGCTGGGCGGGCTCTTGGCTTCTGACGCTTCTGACGGTCAAGAGCCCCTAGAAGCTGATGACAAGAGATAAGTAAAAGGCGATCTCCTTAGGAAGGAAGAGAACAGACCAACAACGTTGAAAAGCGATTCCCCGTGTGTGCCCACCAACTTCGGACACCAGCACAGACACGGCCAGCCTAGGAGAAGGGAGAACGTGTTTACGCATGCCATTTCGGGACCAAAAAAAAAAAAGACTTTATACCCAGTGCTGTGCTGATATTAGTTTTGATACTTTTTTTATCAACCTTAATTTCTACTTAAGATAACAGCTCGAGAGCGCGGACTTTTTTTGCACTCCTGAAGGCAAACGCGTTTTTTACATCCTGTGCAGGAAACCTTGGGGTTCTGGATTCAAGGAGCCTGAAGTTGCGCGACGGACTGTAAATGACGGCAGAGGTTCAGCAACCATTGCAGACTCCTGCACAGAGTAGCCCGATGTCTGCTGCGCCGGAAAAACCGAACGGACAGACTTCAGTGATGGAAACCGCCTCCTCTACAACTAAAACCAAGAAGACCAATGCCGGAATCCGGAGACCGGAGAAGCCTCCTTATTCCTACATAGCTCTGATAGTCATGGCCATCCAGAGCTCCCCAACGAAGCGGCTGACGCTGAGTGAAATCTACCAGTTTCTCCAAAGCCGCTTCCCGTTTTTCAGAGGCTCCTACCAGGGATGGAAGAACTCCGTGCGTCACAACTTGTCCTTGAATGAGTGCTTCATCAAGCTGCCGAAGGGGCTCGGCAGGCCGGGGAAGGGACACTACTGGACTATCGACCCCGCCAGCGAGTTCATGTTCGAGGAGGGGTCGTTCCGCAGGAGGCCCAGAGGATTTCGGCGAAAGTGCCAGGCGCTCAAGCCCATGTACAGCATGATGAACAGCCTGGGCTTCAACCACATCCCCGAGTCCTACAACTTTCAGGGCGCCGGGGGAGCGCTCGGCTGCCCCCCCAACAGCCTGTCTCTGGACAGCGGGATCGGCATGATGAACGGGCACTTGGCGAGCAACGTGGAAGGGATGGGTTTACCGGGACATTCGGTGTCGCATCTGTCTGCCAACACTGGACACTCCTACATGGGGAGCTGCACGGGCTCGTCGGGGGCCGACTACCCCCACCACGACAACTCGGTGCCGGCCTCGCCGCTGCTCACCAGCGGGGGCGTGATGGAGCCTCACTCCGTCTACTCCAGCGCTGCCTCGGCGTGGGCCCCCGCGGCTTCAGCTTCTTTAAATAACGGCGCTTCCTATATCAAACAGCAGCCCCTGTCGCCTTGCAATCCCGGAGCGAACCCCCTGCAGCCCAGTTTACCGACACACTCCCTAGACCAGTCGTACCTTCATCAAAACGGCCACAGTACCACAGAACTGCAAGGTATCGTACCACTGATCTGCGCTTATATTACAACTGTGAATTTTATTTTAACAGGGTTGATGAATTTCACAACTAAAGTTGTTCCTCCCTTAAACAATCCCGGTTTGTGTAATAAGGGTAAATCGAAACGTGCAATTGAAAATTCCACTTTTCTAACGCGGTACAATAAACGGTTTAATTCGTTTTCGGGAAGACTGGAGTAAACTTTACACAGAAGCAAACCTTTGTTTAAAAACAGATTTATCCACGTTCCATTGCAATGCACGCTCTACGACATTACTAACCTGCGAACATCGAAAACATTTGGCCGTAGTTGGCACGGGTTTATAGAAATCTTCTGTCTCATACCTCAACAATGAGCGCCAAACTATTGCAATAATCTGTTGCATTGCATGTGTTAAAACATTTTTAAAACGCTTTAAAATTTCAAATCGAGTTTCAGAAAAACAGTGAAAAGTTGGAACATTACACTTTGACAGTGTCCGCAGAAAGTGAGATAGTGCTTGTGTTTCATGAGCATATAGTGTGGTCAATGTTATTATTTCAGTATGTTAAAATTATCTACTTAACAAAGACAAAAACAGAGCTGGATAGTCTAATTAGCCCATAGCAAGGAAGTTAAGTGCTTCGGCTTCCTGTCCTCGTTTAACTGGGCAAGGACTCGACTAAATAACAAACAGAGGGTTTAACCCTGCCTCTGTTTTCCTAATAAATTCCTGGGGGTGGTTACAGAAAGCACGCTGAGGGCATCTCTGTGGGGAGAGCGTGTTGAACCGTGCCAATGATCGGCAAGAACAACAGCCCCAGCGCGGCCGGTCTGCGCTCCCCGCTGCACCGGGTCCCGAGGGATTAGCGTGTCCGCTGTCAATTAAGCCCGACCCGGCCCGGACTGCTCAGACATCCTCATTCCCCACCCTTCTTCAACACAACCGGAGGAGAACGACAGCTCTGCCTAATAGCTCCTCATTTTCACAGGCCACTTCTCACCGCCCTGTAGAGTTTTATTAGTATTTCTTAGGTGACGCGGCTATATCTGCTAAAATTGTCTTGCCGACACGAAACGCGATATTATACCTAATTCGTTTACCCCGATAGTACAAATATTACCTATTTAAACGTGTTATATTAATATACAGAAAACTTAAAACAAATATTCACCAATTGCAGGATGTTCATGATGATCGTATTCCCAAAAGAGAGAAGGTTTACCCGCCACTTCTTCGTCTTTTGCGTGTTACATAATTTGACAAAATTGGTCTAAAAGTTTTCAACTATTTTAAATAGCTCACATTAATGTCATGTCGTCGTATTTCACAATATCTGTCACTAACGTGTAAGTGATGTAGGCCGCTCAGCAGTTCCGAAGGCCCTTTAAAATTCCTATTAACTCTTCTTGAAAACATTTCTACAGCATCTCGTTAATCTCCCCTTTTAAAACCTGGATGTCAGTGGGAATTGAGATATATATATATTCAGAATAAATCGACATTTATGATTGAAAATGGATGATCAACGTCAAGCACTGAACCGCAGAGGGTTATACGAATGTATTAATACGAGTTGTAGAGCTACTGTACCTAAGGGCGCTTTGTCTGCAAAACAACAATTAAAGGTTATTTCCAGGCTGAAATTAGGAAGAAAGACTCACACCTGAAGAAATCTCAGCAAACAAGATGATGTGCTTTTTCGTTCTACTTTTTAGCGAGGAAAGTGGAATTCATCAAGTATTTGTTCTTTATTAATATCGGACATATTCATGTTTTGACAATTTCTAGTAAAAAAAAACCTCAAACAGAACAATGTGTTAAATTAATTGAAAGAATGAAATTGAAAAACGTTAACGGCGATAAAGGGTCCGTTCGTACTAATTATAAATCGCCCAATCTCATTACGCAACATTCCTTCAAACAACATCTGCTTGTTCAAACAGATAAGCAGAATGTTTTGCTAAATTTTACAAACTTAAAAAAATGTTTTCTTTTTTATTAACGAAACGCAGGGTGTCATTTGACGATTGTTCCATTAAAACTGAAATTATTTTATAAAACCTTCTAATAATTAGTACAAAATAAGGTCTAACAAAATCTAAAGAACTGTAACTCGCATACAATTTCAAAAGTCACATATTTTTGAATAATTATTTAAGTGGCCTGGTGATTATATGACTATTATTCTATAACAAAACATCCTATTTTCACTTTTATGAACTGTTTTTTTTAACAAAAGTATTTTCATATTTTTCTGCGAAAGCCAAGTCTACACAGAGAGCCTCAAGGCTCACAGTCAATGAGTCACCGTGCTGTTTGACTTTAAAAATACAAAAAGGATTGGACTTCTGCTGCCTGAAAAAAAGACGGAATAGATCCATAAAAACAATAGTTTTGTTGTTTCGATCTCTTTTTATGGAAATGTGGGTGGAAATATGTAGCTTTTACGTCCGCAAAATACATATAACGTAAAAAAAAGATTATGTGATTTTAATTTACTCCCCCCGTAAAGACTGAAATACCAGCAGTGGCGTTTGTGTACAGTTTTAAAATTAAAATGCTATGCTAATTTTTAAAGTACTTTTAAAAAACATAAACGTTTTTTTTTTAAATTGGCGGACGCTTTGTGTAACAGTCTAGGCATTTCAAGATTCAACATCTAACAAAGCTTGATACCCAAAAGCTAATTTCAGGAAGCTGTTCTTGAGCGCGCATATAAAGTATATTCTAATCAGAAACACACTTCTTGTCTCTACAATCTGTCGACTGAAATATGCCCATTTCTTGGACATATGGTTCTACTGTGACTCTGCCAAGATAGCAGCATTTTATACAAATGTAAACCATAGCCCGCATTGCTATTCTGACCATAAACCCGTTCTGTATGTTTTCTGACAGGCATACCACGGTATCACTCTCAGTCGCCCAGCGTGTGCGACAGAAAGGAGTTTGTCTTCTCTTTCAACGCCATGACATCGTCGGCGATGCACTCGACTGGCGGTGGGTCCTACTATCACCAGCAAATGGCTTATCAAGACATCAAGCCCTGCGTAATGTGACAGTGCCGGACAGCAGCTGCAGCCAATCGGTCTGAACACTGCCAAAAGCCAGCACACTGCTTTGGAGACCGGAGGGGAGGTAAACACTAGGTCAGCGAGAGGAAAATAAGGACTTGCATAGGTTAAGCATACCCCAGCAATAAGAGTTCAACTAATCGGCCATATTTCTGCACTTTGCAAGATGCCGAGTTCACGGGAGTGCAGAACTCGAACAGTTGGTCTGTCTCAGGCTGGCCTCTTACATGCCACACAAGGAGCCCGTTCAAGAAAGCAACAAAAACAGCTCCCATTTACCTAAAAACTGATTGCTGCGTGGGGAAATCTTGGAACCGCTTCCGATCACCGAAGTACAGTACGAAGATTTCGTGAATTCTGGAGACTTAACGTATGACACTATGGAGCGACAAGATGTGATTAAATTTTAGAACTTGCGACCAACCTACAGAAAAGCGAAGCCAAGCCCGCCCCTCCCCCATGAGGAAGGCTTCTGGTACTAAATCTGCTGGCGGAAGACCCACCACTTTTATACATTAATACACGCTACTTTAAAAAGCAAAAGACAAAAAGAGATGAACAACTTTTTTTTCTTCATTTTTACCCTTTGTTTCAGCCCATTAGGTTGATAAAACTCAAAGTTTTTATGATTTTTTTAAACGGGAGACTTTGTCCCCAGGAATATGATATATATGACAATGAAAACGATCTTTGACTTTATCTTGAAATACACGGACATGCGATTTTAAAGACAGCGGAGAAATTAAGGCACTTTTATAGCAAAGCGCAACCTCTTATTTATTCTGCGTATACTTAACTGTAAAAACATAGTCTCAGTATTAAACGGTTTACTTTATTGGCAATATTTGCCATGAAGAACTTTTTTTAAATAATGCGATGTAAGCAAGGTTTAAGGATAATCGGTAACTTAATGACAGTTACGTTATGTTTTAATGTGTATATATCCGTATTGACTATTGACACTCATGTTATTGTGTTCTGCACTGTATAAATTGTACATGTTGTAATGTCTTTTGTGTACGTTTCTGATTGAACAAAACTCCTTAGTCTGTAAATAGACACAATATTTGTTTTATAAAACTAAAATATTGGCATGCAGTTTGAGTGAAACTGTTAGAAACACCTATAAACATTTTTTTCAAAATATATTTAGCCTTTTTATTAACTATTTAACCCTTGGTTTCATATATAGCGGTATATTTCTCTTTGACAAGAAAGATAAATACGGGAAGGATGTACGGTGCATATAGAATATTATGACATTAACAGGGAAATAAAATTCAAGAAAACTAGATAGAGGTCCGTCAACACATTACTCCCCTTAGCTTAGAATGAAATAAAAGGATGAAAAACTTATTCGTTTTGAATAAAACTACCCCGGATTGTAATGATTAAGGTGCAAAGTGCAATTTATATTTAAGGATGGCAACACGGATTGTCTAATACCAACAAACACTAAGCGTTATACTGACACGATGTTATCTTAGCACAAATCTTTATTTAAAAAATATGTTCTTTCTGTTTTAGGGATTGTAAAATGTTCGGAAAAATGGGTTTGTTCAGGTCCACGTCGAACTGTTTCATGCTATACAGCGAACGTTATTAGATATTTTGGTAATCAAAAATTCTTATTTTTTTCCCTAATAAAGCACCGTTTTAATTTTTAAAATCTCTCTGAACCGAACATGCAGCTGTCCCCCAGAAAGCGTTTTCAATGGCGAGGACAAATTACTCAATATATATATATAAGCAGAAGAACCGATAGAGGTTTTCAGGAAACACATCATGGAATCTTTTAACATTTTAAATTGTTTAATAAGGAATACAATGCCCGGACGAATGTTCCCGATGTACGACGTTTTCTTCAGTGTGACGTTCAGATAGGAACTAGAGTTACCGGTGCAGCGAGGCTGCAATTATCCAGGTACAAACCAGCTCAATCGGTAAATGCGCGAATGGGTAGCAAAATGAGTTCATACCGGATTCTGTTTTATGCTAAAAGTGAGAAAGAACTTGACCACCTACAGCTGCTCGGTTTGTGCTCTCGCAACAGAATGTCTCCTTAGGAACTGTTTCTTTTCAAACTTGACATTTTGGACGTGGAGTTTGTTTTTTAAAATATGTATTTCTCCGTGAGGGGAGGGTTTTCTTCACATAAAAAAAAAATCATCACGATAAATCAAAAACAACTGTTTTAATATTTTCCCTAGAAATTCGTTCATTTTCAATTACTCTGTATTAAAGAGAAAAAAAACTTGTCGTTTGGTGAACATCATATATAGAACCAGTCTCTACATATGAAAGACGGATAGTCATTTGTTTTAGAAAACGCATTCAAATAAAATGTATCCTACTGTCATACATTTAAAATGTAAATGATGAGAAGTAAAACTTAAAAAACACAGTTGGGCTCTGCGTGCAAAGGAACAAACAGGTTAATTAGTTCAACGAAGAAACCTGAAATGAAAAGGAAATAGCGGTTATTCGTCTGAAAAAGGTTAAATTAAAATAAAATAAACTCTCACAGTTCAGCTATTTTTCTGTATTTCTAAATGCAACCACTTGGAAAATAAAATCCTTAGAAACGACGATAGTTGATCGGGTCGCGGGGTTAGCGGTCGATGCAGTTGGGAGAAAGAAACCTCCTATATCGACAAACAAGAAAAATGATTAACCCTATGGCAAGGCGATTGTGAAAACCGTACATAGAACCTGAATTTGCTCTTGAAAATGATTTTAAAAACATAATAATATCTTCAAGATAGCTTTTGATAGACACCGGAGGAATTTGTCAGATATACTGAGGTTGTGGTTCACTCTCTGTTAGCGGCACCTAGCGGCACCTACCTGTAACGACCTTTCATCCAGGTCTATAGCTCACACGCTTCACGTCTCCACCGCGATTTGGACAAGGAACAGGAACAGGAAAACTTTGGGAGTGTTCCTTATTAAATAATAAAAAAACTGGTCACAATATGAACAAGTAATATAATTCAAAAATCTTTAGACCGTAGCCACAGAGACTATGAAGGTGTTTCTATACAAATAAATAATAGGTTCCCTTTTTATCACACAAAAAGAACGAGACACTACCAATATTTTATAATCTGAAGAGTGCTGTACGTTCTTTCAAAATGACATTCCCAAATAACACTTTAAATGACGAGTCTTTGAGACCTCCATATTATTAGCAACTTTAGCAATTAAAAATAATAAATTATATGTATGATGCCTGAAAACTGACGTACATATACAGTATATATATGCATATATATTAATATCAAATATTCTGAATATCAAATATTATTAGAAGTTCTTTCCATGGTTTTAAAATTAATATTTCTAGGTAAGCATTTCTACATACATGAAGTCAGATCATTAGTTAAAACAGAAATACAACATTTAAAAAAGAACTTTCCTGTTTGTCTGTTTTAGAAGTTATAACAATGACTGATCAACCTATACATATATATTCACCAGATTGGCTGATCTGCATTCCTGGTTACCACAAGCTTGTACTTGACTAAAAAATTGATATTTTGATTATAATTTGTACTTCTATGTCAGGCACTTGTCTTAAGGATTACTGAACTACTACAGATACTGACCATTTGCTGAACTTCTGGAAAAAAAAAACGTTCAGTTCCACGAAGGCTGTCCAAGTTTCTCTGCGATGTGAGGACCACACATTTGCTGGCTGATGACGTTAGACAGAGCAACTTGGCCGCGCCGGAGGGTGAAATTCCTTTTCCAGCCCACAGCTGTTCAGATGACGATTTTATCAAACTGGCCTTGTTTAGGTAAGAACACATGCAATCTGCTCATCCGTTAGCCTCCGTCTAAAGCACAGACTCTAGAAGCTTCCCTGGGTTCAGGTATCCAAGCACGAGAGAGAACAGCGCCCCCCAGCGTTAGTGCACAGCACAGTCCCAACACCTCCGTTACTCCCTCTTAAACTTCCACCGCAGGGTAACGTCTCCACTGCGCTGATCTACGCCCGAGTCAAGAGAAGACTTTATGAAGTTTATCTCCCGGCTGTGACGATGATGGCAGTGTTTTCAGTCTGACATCTCCATGGGACCTAAAGCCCTCACACTCCAGGTACTCCAGCCCTTGTTGTAGCACACAAGCTCCCTCATCAATGGAAAGTGAGGGACAATCTAACTGGTCTCTAAACGTGCTCAAATACTGGGTTACTCTCAAACGGACAACACATAGCACACAGGCTATTCCTAAAGTGCAACCAATTCAATTGTATGTAGATGAAATATATCTATAAATAGCCAGGGTGCACTGAAAGAACAGCACCATGAAATACAGTCAGGAAGCTTCAGTCAGCGGAAGTAAACAAATCAGGTCAAAACACAAATGAAACTTATTCCATTAAAAATTCTGCACAGTTTTCTCTTCATGATGGGCTGCTTTATACCTAAACAGAGAGTTATAACATCATTAAGCAATAGTTGGGTCATTTGAATATGCGATTAAACTGTTCAGTACTATTAGTGTAGCACGTTGTGTGGTAACCTGTGGAGTTGTTTGCAGTAACAGGGTTAATAAGCCATATCACCGTGCACAACTGGCAGCCCACAGAGGCTAAGTGGGTGTGAGCCTGGCCAGTACCTGGATAGGAGACTCCTGGGAAAACTAAGGCTCCTGCTGGAAGAGGTGTTAGTGGGGCCAGTAGGGGGCGCTCTCACTGCGGTCCATGTGGGTCCTAAAGCCCCAATATAGTGAGGGGAGCACTATACTGTAAAAAGACACCGTCCTTCAGATGAAACATAAAATCAATTTCCTGACTCTCTGTGATCACTAAAAATCCCAGGGCATCTCTTGAAAAGAGTAGGGGTGTTACCCTGGTGTCCTGGCCACCAGTCATGGCCTCCTAATAATCCGCATATCCGACCTGGCTTCATCACTCTGCTCTCCTCCCCACTGAGAGTTGGTCTGTGGGGAACATACCGGCGCACTATGGCTGCTGTCGCCAGGTGGGGCTGCACACTGGTGGTGGTGGAGGGGATCCCCATTACTTGTAAAGTGCTTTGAGTGGAGTGTCCAGAAAAGAGCTATATAAGTGCAAGGAATTATTATTAATAATAATGGGGCATGCTGTGCAGTAATCTGGGATCTGTACTGGGAATATTAAACAGGCCTAACAGCAGAGCTCAGCTGCTTCCGAGTCAGACCGAGCTGCACGATTGATGCCAGTGATGTTGAACCTGGGCACAATTATGTGAAGAACAGGTGAATAATTCCATATATTCATAAACTACAGTTAAATTATGAATATATAAATCGTCTAACAATACACAGAGTATGGCGTCTGTACTGAGGCACAACTATAACTGTAGAACAACTGAAAATAAAGAACACTTCATCTAACAAACAAAAACAAAGTTCAATTCAACTTAAGTTTATTTTTTACTGCGCCCAAGAACGCTTTCATGTCTTAAAACATTCTATCAAACGTAACAAGTTTTACCAATAACTACAATAATGAAAAGACTTCCCCATCTGCTTGTCCTAAGTCACGTTCTGTTTTAAACTGGTATGTGCTAGATGGTAACTAGCGATAGAGCTATTCCGATTACAATATTCACTCCAAGTAATCAAAAACACAGTTGCTTTAATATGGTACGGCCTCAACACAGTTCAACATGCTCTGGTTGTGCAGATCTACCTTCATCACCCAGAAATTCGATTATTCCATTTCGTCCTCCACAACATCAAAGATAAACGTCATCCTGTTCCAGTTCAACATTGCATGATACGGTGGTTGTTAACGAAAGTTAAGCAAGGAAAAACCCTAATGAAAACCTCCTGGAAAAGGAAGGGTTCTCTGAAAAACAAATAAGCTCTTCACACTGTACATCCTGACTGCCATCCCTCCTGCACTGCTGAAAAAACCCTGCATTCATGGAAGACCCTGGATTTCAGCACCACCTTCAGTGCTTGTTGTTCTGGGTCGTCTGAGAACTTGGCCTGCTCTCCAGCTGTTTCTCTGACTCGCTGCCAGTTCAGCGCGGATGCTGTTCCCGTTTATACAAAACCCCTGCAGAACAGCCAGAACTCTCTCTGCGGTCTGCTGGTCGCTGTAATCCAGGAAGGCCCTGCGCTGTGCTCCCTGCCAGTTCAGACGTACAGGCACGGCGCCGCGCTCCCTCAGGGCGCTCTTCAGCTCTCTCACTCGCAGGCTGGGAGGAAGGCTGCCAATGTAAATGGTGGAGGTCCTGTCCTGCCCGGGGTTTTTCACCTTGGAGTCCGAATCCCTGCCTCTGTCCCCCGGCCCTGGAGCGGAGTCCCTGTCCCCCGGCCCTGGAGCGGAGTCTCTGTCCCCCGGCCCTGGAGCGGAGTCTCTGTCCCCCGGC